ACCCAGGAGAGCGAAACAATCCCATAGAACAAACCCTCACCATGTCTTTTATTTTCTGTTCTGGTACATTGACTGACATCCCAGGTATGGCTGACTCTGGAGGGACTGCCCCTGCCCCCTTAGAGTGAACCAATTCCTAGAGATAGTCATCAAATTGCCCTTCTAGCATGCCAGAGTCTGTACCCCTGCCCCCCTCCCTCAACAACTTATTTCTCAGGCTACCACGCCCCAGCCACTATCTTCCTGCCCTAATCACTCTAGGGCCATATCCCTGCCAACCTGCCAACTGCCACTGAAATTGGCTATTTGCATAGCTTGCCCTGACTTGCAACCACCACCAAGACTCTTGCCACACTTCCTTCCTCCTCTGTTTCCTGACCTACCCACTGCTTCGCAATCATGGTGGTGGGCCCACTCTGCCTCTTGGAAACTGGGAGTAACAACCTATTTTCTCAATGAAGTGGCTCCTGATCTGCTGGCCCTCCAGCAGTTTCTATAAAAACAGGACACTTTAAAACAAACCCTTTATTTAAGGATTCTTCCGTGGCACTTCCTCAAACCCCAAAGAATCAACCCATTTCATCCTCAGGAGAACCCCCCCCCCCCCCAGGGAGGTGTACCATCATCACACATTTTATAGAAGGAGGCGCCCTGACTAAGGACACACAGGCCCTCAGAGTCACCCTCTGAGTCGATGTTAATATGCTGCTAAGCCGCTCTCCACGATTTGTCCACATCTGGACCAATAAACAGGGGAAATAAAGGAGCTCCTGCAGGTCCTCATCCACAGGAGTGAGGTGAGCGGTGGTCCGTCTCCACGGCTCCTCACCCCTGGGTGTGCTGCAGACTCGGGGATGGCACTCCCATCACGCTGTTTTGGAACCACACCCATCACAGGTTTGCCCAGTACGCAGCTCCCCCACCTCACACCAGACACGGATTTCCAAATGTGCCCCCCTACACACGCTATTTGCATTTCAGAAAGACTCACCCCAAGCAGTGCAAGCGGCCAGGGAGCCCAGGACCAGAGCCAAGAACCACATCATGGGAGGACAGCAGCTCCTGGGCCACTGGTCTCTGTGCAAGTGCCTCTGCCTCCAGGGACTGTGACCTCCGCCCCTCAGCTCCCTGTCAGCAGCTCCTGCCCCACAGCCACCGCCCTATTCTCTAATCAGGAAGCAACACAAAAGCTCCTGGTCTCAGAAGCTGCTCTGGGCACAGCCAGGGCCTCTAGGCCACGCCCACCAAGAGTTGACTGTCTTTCCCCTAAACAGCCTGGACACAGCTCTCAGGTTACCTGATTGTCAAACAACCTGTTACATAAGAGCTTCTCATTGGACACTTCAACCTTAACAGGCAGTGAGCTTCCCAAGGCAGCGGACCAGGGGAGGCGGTGCTCTGGGTGTACTCAGAACAAGGATAGAAACTTTGTTAGCAACTCTAGCCCCATAGAAGCTCAACTGGGGAATTTAGGACAAATCTCTTAGCTTCCCATGTGGTGTGTGTGTGTGAGGGATGGGGCAGGGCGGGGAGGTGGTCGTCAGTCCCCAGAGGCAACTGCTTCTGTAAAGATTTCCCTGGCCCTAGCTGGTTTGGCTCAGTGGATAGAGCGTCAGCCTGCAGCCTGAAGGGTCCCGGGTTCGAATTTGGTCAAGGGCACATACTCAGGTACCTCTGTTCGGCTCGGAGGCAGAGGTCAACCAATCGGTGTGTTTCTCTCACATCAATATTTCTCTCTGTCTCTCCCTCTCTCTTTCACTCTCTTTAAATATCAATAGAAAAATATCCTTAGGTGAGGGTTAAAAAAATTAAAAAGAAAAAAAGGATTGCCCTAGGGTGGGGTTCCTATCTTTATCTAGGGGGAAAAAAACACGGGTCATGAAGCACACCCAGATAAAGAGCACCCATATCTCTACCCACATGGGACAATCTGGGTTGTCCTCTAAGCAGAGGCTATTTCTAATCACCACACCACACACACACACACACACACACACACACACACACGCACGGGCCTTTGCAATCTGGGAACACCGCCTGGCTGCTAGCCTCTGAAGACTGTAGGGTGTTGTATCAGCATCTTCAGAGCACCAGGGTGAATTATTCTTCTGGTCCCACTGTTCAGTCACACCAGGGACACCAACCCGTTCTGCAGGGGCAGCCACCTCCAGACCTCGCCCCGTTCCCACCTGGCTCAGAGTCATCTGCAGAAGGGATGGGTGAGGCCGGAGTCTGAAGCCAGACCTCAGCGTGGCTCGCATGCATAAGCCCCCTGCCTCACGTGAACGAGATGCAGTGTTTCTTGTGTCAGTGGGAGGTGGCTGGGAACATAGCTTTACCTTGGGGAACTCCCTCAGGTTTCCCGTGTGGAAATGGGTTATCTGGAGAGTAAAATCCTAGGAATTGGCCTTAAGTCCTAAGCAGCTGGACAAGTCTTAGGAGAAAAGACACCCCCAGGGGCTCCAAATGAGCCCCACAAACCCTCTATCTCCATCAATTTACTCAACAGATATATGGCGAGCATGCACGCAAGCAAGCAATGGACAAGTGTGAGCCCATGAGCTACTGTGCCCTTCACTTGGCTTTGCCCTTCACTTGGCTTTGCCCACTAATCATGGCATGAATCAGCACAGGCTTTGTGGTGGTGAACACTGCACAGGCAGACCAAGAGTTGGGGGGCCCACTGGGTGACCCTGGGGGTTCCTTTCTGGAGAAAGAGAGGCAGTGGGTGGCTCATGTACCATCCACTCCAAACCAAAATTCTGTGGATCTAGAATTCTGTGACATTTTTCTGGAACCTCAGTTATTTTCATATTAACATCCGTTTTCTGCCATGTCAGCTCACCATCTGTACTATTGTTAGCAATTTCCCTCCAGTGTCTTTTACTTTAAACACACTCATTCAACAAGAAAATGTTACATCATGGCCATACGTAGAAGACCTGGATGACTTGCCACAAATAAAGGTGAGCACGGAAGGTGTGTCACTGCATTTTAAAAAAGTAAAATGTTGGCAAACATAAAAAGTGAATAATAAGTAATAACACCACTAATTGATTTACAAAAGTGCAGACCCGAATAAGTTACCCAATGGGAAAAGTGGACGGTGGGTGGTCAGTAACATCAGGGCAGGGACACCTTGTCCACCACTATGACCACAAGTTAGGGGACCAGGCACCAACTTGATCAAGGGTCACCTTTACTGCAGCCAATTTTGAGCCTCGGGGAGCCAGATAAGGATTTTTAACCTATGCCCAGTGTGGGAAGAAAGGATAGCTTCGCACTTAAGGACTCAGGCTCTGGAGCCAGACTGCCCAGGTTCATGTCCCAGCTCTGTCTCCAGGGCCCCAGCTTCACAGGTGTGACACCCAGCAGTCACACAGGGACCCTCTCATTCAGAAGGGCTCTTCCGTTGCTTGTCACCATATTAATATTTTTTACAATAAGGGTGTTCTTTTGTGGTTTTATTTTTGCACAACAAATTATGTAGCTGGTCTTATCTGTCACTTACTAGTTGAATTTTCTTGGGCCTCGGGTTGCTGTGAAGATTCTTTGAATATGAAAATTTATTATGAAGACACAATTTCAGTTCCTATATTATTACAGCATTCAAAGGTATAATCGCCAGATTACCGAAGGCTGCCATCACCTCCACCTTATGAGGAGCCACAGACCGGCCATCTATCATTCCATCCACCTAGTCCCACTGCCAATCACATGCCGGGGACCATGAAAGTGAATCTGACCTTGGTCCTGAACCTGAGAAGCCCATGGTTGAACAGCCAAGCCTCTGGTCACTGGCTAACACACCTTCCTTCCCATTCCTGGTGCCAGTGTACAGGTGAGCACATATGAGCTGGCAGCCACAAGGACTGAATAGCTACAGCCACCAGGATCTGAAAACAGACTCCTGTTCCTGCGGGTACACTCGGCTGTGCCAGCTGTGTGACCTTGGGGAGGGCATTCCTCCCACTGAGCCCCATCTCATGAAGATAACCACCCTCCCTGCCCTAGGCAGTTTGGCTCAGTGCATATAGCATGGGCCCATGGACTGAAAAGTCCTGGGTTTGATTCCCGTCGAGGGCATGTACCTCTGTTGCAGGCTTGATCTCCAGCCCTTATCAGGGCACGTGTGGGAGGCAACCAATTGATGTGTCACTTTCACATCGATGTTTCTCTCTCCCCCCCTCTCCCTTCCATTCTCTCAAAAAAAAAAAATCAATTGAAAAAGATTCTCAGGTGAGGACTAACAAAATAACCACCTCCCTGCTCCTGGCTTGTCAGAAGACGGAGAGGAGACGTGGGCTGTGGACAGGTTGGATCTGTCACCGGGGGCTGGGTGATGGCTACCACCAGATGGAGGGTCCTCGAAGGGCATCCCCTCTCCATGCCTCTGCTCAAAGCCTCGGGCCTCTCCCGGCTCCCGGAATGAGGGGCAATGTATGTCTGAAAGAGCTGGTTTCATACCCTAGAGCTTGGGGAGCGTGGAAAGCAGCTGTAAGCAGGTGCAGAGGGACAGATGGTAGAGTGTGGTCAAGAGGTCAGTACCCTTCCCGCACGGAGGGGGTCCATCTGGGGATGGCCAGGCAATGTGGTTGAAAGAACCCCATCTTAGGGGAAGGAGGCCTCAGTTCGGCTCCAGTAGTTGAGACAATGACTCTGGGTGACTGGGAGCCAGGTTCTTGCCCTCTCTGGGCCTCCCTGTGTCCACATGTAGAGGTGGTCAAGTGGCCACCTTGCTGCTCTTCTAGCTTGAGTTCGGTAGGAGACACTGCCAATGCTTGGCTCATGTCCCCTCTATGCTCACTACCTGCCCCCCCGATACACACACACACACACACACACACACTGCTGGCTTCACTCTATGGGCACCTGTGACTCTGCCTGAGGCCTTTCTCCATGGAGCAGAGCAGAGAAGCCCTTGATGAGTGATAGTGTGACTGTCCCAACCATCCACCAGGAGGATGGGGTAGACTCCAACCCAAGACACAGACACTGACTTGGTCACCGAAAGAACATTATTTCCAAAATTAAGGCTACAGGTGTAGAAGCTCCCCCTTCGTGGTCTCTGTCCACTCCCACCAGACACTAAGGTACCTTTTTGGCCATAAACACCTTCTGTAGAATTACCCCTAAGTTCCCCCAGATCGTGGAGGCTGGATGGGCCTCCCCTTCACAGCTCAATACGCTCTGTTTGGGGTGACGTCCTGGCTGTGTCCTGGGCAAGGAGCTCGGTGAAGAACGCCACTTCCTCATCTTTCAGCTTCTGGGCAGCCTGGGTGGTGACCCCAATCTGCAGGTACCCTTCCTTCTGGTCATACACAGGCCAATGGGGCAGCCCCTCCCCGTTGGGGTTCCTGGAAACAGAAAAAACATCAAATAGAAAAGCCCCATCGGTACTGTGTGGTCCCAACAACTCCCAGAGATTTGCAGGGACACCCCCGACACAAACCAGCTTCATCTCTCCCAAAAGACTCAAACTCCTCCATAGGCAGGGACCTCCCCATCTCCTGGGAAGCCTGTCCCTTTGAGAGTTCTCATGTCACATGTCTCAGGGCCAGGAGTTTGACCACCCGTGTCAGAAGCTACCCCTCCCAACAGATACGCCCTGCCCCTCCCCAGCCCTGCTCTGGCTGCTCACCCATTCCTAGCGAAGTTGGCCCAGAATTTCATCATCATCTTGCTGAGTTTGATCTCCTCTTCGGAGGCCCCGTCTGGAGGGAAGAAGAGGAAAAGTCTTTGCTACTCCACATGTGGTCGTGGGCCGGCAGCAGCCACACAACTTGAGTGCTTGTTGGAAATTCAGATTCTGAGCCCCGACTCCAGACCCACAGAGATGAAAGCTGTGTTTTAAGAGGACACTGCGTCACCTGTGTGCACTGGAAGCTGGGGAGGTACTGATGGAGGACTCAGCCCAGGGCTGCAGTCAACACATAGACCTTGGTGTGCTTTGACCGTCTTCGCACCCCACCCTCCCTCTTCAGAGTTGCAATGCCACGCCCAGGGGTCCCCCTACAGCCACCCCGCCTCCCAGGATTGTCCTTCTGGGTGTGTTTTGGATCTCAGCCACCCACTCACATTTTCATTGGTTCTGAAAAATAACAGAAGTGCAATGACCCTAAGAAGTCATCCAGTCAGGATATGGCACTGGTGTGTCCCAAACAGGCCTGAGGTGGGTCACACACAGGTTGGCCATCTCTGCTGATAGTTAGGGTATTAAAGACATTTAGGAATATGATCTTTTAGAGAAAGGATGTCTCTAAAAGATCATATTCCTAAATACATTATATTTTTTAAAAAATATGAGCTTTAGATAGATAGATAGTTGGGTCGATATACAGAGGGATGTATGTTAGCCCTGATTCAAGGTTAACACCTTATAATTCTAGCCTTACTCTGACATTCTGATAGACCCTTGTGAGTGGGACCTGACTGGGGACATTCTACCTGTGAGCAGGCCCTGTCTTACTGATGCCCACTGTGCACGTCAGAGCAAGAGAGAGGGGGACCTTTGTCGTTCAACCTGTCACAGTGAATTCGGGAAATGAAGTCTCAGAGAAAAGAAGAAACCTGCTCAAGGCCACCAAACCAAGTCTTGACCCCAGACCCCCCTACCTCCAAGGGCCATCACCTTTTAAAAATGGAGCCCCGAAGACTGAGAAGATTTCATCCCCGTGGTCCCCTATCACCGTCTCGGGCCTCGTGACTGCCGAGAAGCTTGGGCGATACCGAAACTCATACATGTAGGTGGGGGCGCCGGCATCTGAGAAGACATGATTGACGCACGTTCATTGTACCCGTTCCACACCTGCATGGTGTCAAGGCTTCCGGGGGCCCTGAGCACCCAGGGAATGAGTGGCACGCCTGGGTCCTGAGCACAAAACAACAATATGAACAGCAGCTGCCCACGTGAGTGCCTGTGGTGTGCTGGACAGTGTCCCGCACGTGAGGGATCCGCATCATGGAGAACTGAGATTCTGAAAAGGGTCCTGGCTGGCAGACTAGGTGAAGGGGGACCCCTGGAAAAGGAAGGACCCAGAAGGAACACCTCCTCTCTAGGTGAGCTCACCCATCGCTGACCTCACACCCCACCCACACAGCCCTGGGTCAATTCCAGGGTAGACCCAACACACACAGGGATGGACAAGAACTGACCACAGACATGGAATTCTCCAGAACACCTGTCCCCACACCTGCCATTTCTCACCCCTTTGGGCTTTGCTGGTCCCAGACAACATTCCTGATCCTATGCTTGGTTTCACTCCTCCCCCTGCTCCACTGGCTTTGCCCTTAGAAATCTTCTAAGACACATCTTCCAAGATTAATCTTCCAGCCCCACAGACCCCATCGCTCCAGGTGAGGAGCGCCTGTGGCAGATGCTGTCGGTGCCTCGCCATATCCCTACTTCTGGGAATGCCAGCCCGGCTTCACCTCCAGTGTCTGGAGCTCTTGGCCTGAGGTCTTCAGCCAGCAGAGACCACTCTGCCCCTAAGTACAGCAGGCCGGAGCCCTAGAGAAGGAGCCACCCCTTGGGAACAGCCTTTAACCAACGACTCATGCAGTTGGAGGCTAAGTACCCCAGCTCCCTCGTCGCTCAGGATGACCCTGAGTCACGTCTTCTGTTGGGACCCAGAGCACCGGCTCCAGGGCCCACGGGGCACACGTGCTTGACCGTGCAGCAAGCCTGGCTCCCTCTCCTTCCCATGCCACTTCTCCACTCCTCTCCTGGTGTCCCTGGGACTCCCTCCAAATAAACTAGCAGCATTTGGATCCTTTTCTGAGTCCACTTCTGGAAAAACCAAAACAGGACAGCACCCCACCCCAGGCCACATGGAACCAGCCTCGGAGGCCTGTCTATGCTGAGGGGTGGGCAGGACAGACAGTGAAGTGGGTGGGGTTGGTGTCCCTTCCTGTCCAATCTCTGGGACTCACCTCTGTGGCCACGTGCCACAGTCACAGCTGGGACACCAAATGCCAGATCTCCCAGCAAATCCAAGAACCGGTCTTGCTTTTTGACAGGGTCGTCTGTCCCTCCTAAATACTTCTCAATGACCGCTGGGATCAGTGCCTCAGGGATGTTCTGAAATGGAACCAAGAGTGAAAGGGGCTGCCACCGGTTGAGTGACATGGTTTCTCCAGCCAGTGAGCAAGGCTGTGCAAAGCCCCCCGCCCCCCGCCCCAGCCCCATGTCCACAGTGATGCTCTCAAGTCCTGTGCAAACCCTCCCTCCCCCAGTGGCAATGTGGGAAGAAAACCCTCTGGCCCCAGTCTTCATTCTGCCATTTAATTGCTCAGTGACCTGGGGCAATCCCCTGTCCCTCCTTGGGTCTCAGCCCATCCCAGGATTCCCTAGACCCTTACAGTGAAGGAGTAGGACTGCCATAAGAGTGACGAGGCTGTCTTCTGGTCCAGCTTGCCTTCAGAGATCGGGTAACCCATCATCTGTTAAAACAACAGGTTTGCAGTCATTACTCATTTGGGAACTAACGGGAAGAACCAAACTGACCAAACAACCAAACCGGTGCAGGCTGGCAGACAGCCTGTCATGTCTTGATGGGCAAGGACTCTGATGAACTGGGCAGAACCAATGAGTGAAAGGGACTTATATCCAGAAACTCAAGGAGGGTGAAGAAGATGAAGTAAATGTTAAAAGAAGCCAATTCAGGCCTCTGCAATATAATGCAAGCTAGTGTTGAAGGACAGAGCCCTGGGGGATGACACAGACCTCACAGATACCCCACGCATCTAAGACCCAGGAAGCCCCCATCCTGTCATCATGGCTTCGGTCCTTCGGCATAACCTTTGAAACCGGGCTCAGGTTAGAGTGCACAACAGCTCTGCACATAACCATCCCATCCAAACCTCCGCTCTAAGAGCCTTGACCAAACTCTAACACAGCTCCCAGCAGCGTAGGCTGGGTCCCTGGGTGACTGATCCCAGCCCCCTGAGATGGCTCTGTGCTGCCAGGAGAAGGCACTGTTTGCTTTAGCCAAAGCCTGTCTCTGCCCTTAGAACTGTACATCTACCACCCAAGCTGTCGCTCAAGGACCTGGGAGCCGTCCCTCTGAAACACAGACATGCAGGGGATAACTCTGCTCTCTCTCCCAGTCCCTAACTTCAGTGGGCACCTCCCTGCAACTGACACCCCTGTCTGCTGACATACACACGGGAGAGGTGTGCTTCTCCTCCAGAGAAGTGCCACTTCACAAATCCAGGGGCCTGGTCTCATGGCCATCCCCCCACCCCTCCTGCACAACAGCCTTTACATGGCTCCAGGCCTGTGCTTCAGGCTTTGAGTGGAGTTCACACTGGATCTTACCCCTGCTGCAGTAATATAACTGAATCAAACCTGTTCCTACCACTTCCACTAGTATCCGGCTTTATCTTTAACGGAAGGGAAAGCCCTTCCTAACATTTAGAAGTCAATTTTACCACAAGAGGAAGGAAGCTCCTCTGACTCTTTCTAATTGGATGACAAAGAGCATGCCTGGGGATTTATGGAGAAACTGGAAAGCATTGAGCCCAGGGGGAGAGGCTGCAGGGCCCCAGGCCTTACTCCTGAGCTCCCCTCCTTCCCAGGGCTCAATTTCTCCATATGCACAATAATTCTCTCTACCGGCACCGACCTTCCAAGGTTCTTAGACTTGAGAGAATCAGAGTTTGGGAGAGGGGGGCCCAGGGCTTCACCACCCAGCTGTCAGTTCGGCCATCCCAGGGAAGGTTTCCATGGAAATGTCAAATCGTGCAGAGGGAACAGCTGCCCTGTACCCAGAGTGGGGTTGGGGGGGCGGGGGGGGCGTTGGAAAGGTCTGGAGAAGGAAGAGATCCTGCGACCAGAGATGGGAGGCTGGTGGGATGGGCGCGGAGGTGGGTCTCAAAGGCCCACACAGGCTCACCATTGGAAGAATCCAGCCGAACTCTTGCTGGTTGATTCCGACCATGTACGGAACGGAGTTGAGCTGCTTTTCAGCCAGAAGCTCCTCCGGCATCTTCGGCAGCAGCACTCCATCAACCACAGAGGACAGGAAGGGCTGGCTCTGGGAAGAGGACATAACAGTGTCCATGCTGCCCTCCCCGCTCACATCCACGTCCTTCTCTCAGCTCGTCAGAGCACGGCCAGCACCACACACCTGTGTGCCTGTGGGCAGCGGCACAGAGCTCAGGGTCTAACAAAGCAGCTAAGTCTGTGACCCCAGCGGGCAGAACTGGTCCCCAAAGGATTAGCAGTGGGCAGGTGATGGAGGGGATCTCCCTCAAATTGAAATATGTAAATATACTATGTTAATATTTGTGTTTTATATAAAACTTTCAGCTTGAAGTTTATGTCTATCTATATGTATCTCTCTCATGACAGTCAATTCTCATTATTCACAGTGGTTATGCTCCGTAAAGTCACTGTGGACTCCGAGTTAGTGAACCCGGAGCCACGGCTCCCAAATCCCACTGTGTACACTCAAACCACCAGCAAACTCCATCCCCAGTTCCCAGTTTCTTTTTCTCCATAACGCTAGCCATCATCAGACACACTCCATATTTTATTTGTTTACTGTACTCTCTCCTCACTCCTAGAGGGCCGGGGCTTGTATCTGCTTTCTTTGCCCATGTTACCGGTCTATCCCTCCCCCACCTCAACCCACCCCCACTCCTTGCTCAAAACTCAGGCCCCAGCACATAGAACTCAGGGTTAAGGAAATGTTTGCTGAATGACTGAATGCATTTCATTCAATCCTCAAGACACCTTCTAGGGTAAGTGCAACTGTCCCCAGAGGGAAAGCAGAGGGGGTAGGACTGAGAGACATTGCAGAGGTAAAGGCATGGGAGCCTGGTGGCCCTCTGGAAGGTAGGACGAAAGGAGGAAGGGGAGGGGGAGGATGCTGTTGGAGTTTCCTGCGTGGCTGGGAGGAGTGTCCTCAGGCTGAGGCTCCTGGCTCCCTTCCTGGTGACCCTGCACACAGTGGCTAATCAGCCCTGCAGCCTCGCAGGAGATCTGGGCTCCTCCGTGCAGGCTCCTGAGAGCCCTGATGCAGTTACTTCCCTCTCCCCGAGGTGGGAGTTTCTAGTGCAGCCTTCTCCCCCTGGGAGCAGGAAATAAAAAGAAGAAAAAATGTAGAGCCCAGCCAGCCTGGCTCAGGGATTGAGTGTTGACCTATGAACCAGGAGATCACAGATCAATTCCCAATCAGGGCTCAGTCCCCAGTGTGGGGTGTG